GGTCATCCCATGCACAATTCACTTTTGAAAAGCAGGACAAAATATGGATATTTGATTTTAAGAACGCAGCTGATATGGAGTTAATACATCTGTTGGACTTTATATTGTCAGCTGGCTTAGTAGTGATGTATGTGCTGTAGTCAGGACCTTATTACCCTTTGACCTGACTTGGTTATCAGTGCCTGTTGGACTTTGTCTCGTGGGGCTAATTTTGCTTGTTTGTATGGCTGTCGCTCTCTTTCCATCCCCTTCCCCTCCTCCAACTGTTTCCCTCCGTGCTCCCTTTCAGCTTTACTCCTTACATGAGTCGTGAAGTGACAGTCCCCATCCCATGAGGTTAAGTGCATCCTGACCTTTTGGTTTCACTGCTCTAGGCAGCCTAACGTTATCTGAAGCCATCTCCTATCCATGCTGATCCAGAGTGACAGAACTACTTTTGGCCCCCTTTCTTTTTTAAGCGTACAGTGTTTTTGGCATTTTAGTCTTTATTTAATAGTTCACAGTGGAGAGAGACACAGGCAGTCAGATTTAAACCCACGATGTAGTGAACTGCGTGGCATTTGCTTAACCAACTCAGCTGTCATGATGCTTTTTTGGTGTCTTATCTTGGGTCTTTGCAGAAATGTATCCCTTTGTTGTAATTTGTCTCAATATCTTCTCTACATACTAATTAATTAAGACACATTTGTTCGCCTCAGTGAATCCCAAAGGCATAATCAATAGCTGGTGGGCTAATTGTGGTATCTTTAATGCTGTATTCTGAATAATTAGGTTTGTCTAACTCTGTTAAATGTGACCCACCTAGAAATTTGGAGAGAGCATTCATTTTGTTACACCGCAAGGGTGATGTGGCCTCTCTTCACAGAGCTTGGGTATATTCACAGCCTAATTAATTGGACACTGTGAGGGTTACATTAGCCATTAGCTTCCATGACAATTCATTATTTATTTAAAGCTGTAGCGGGTATGCTAAAAGGAAAAGTATGAATGCATTTTGCCTCCCTTCTTACTTCTGTCCTATTTAGCAGTCTTGTGACAACTCCAACCAAAGGCTGATTTCATTTTCTTAGAATACTGAGCCAAAAATATCATTAAAAGGACATAATTATATGGCAATGTTCACCCAGTATGGAGAAGACTTGAATTTAGGCTTAATTTAACTGATAAAAGATAATACAAGTTGTGTCCCAAATCTAAACTAATTACTAATCGTCATAGTAGGGTATAGGGTATATACTATACCCTTATTTTTTTGTTTTCAAAGATTTTCTTTGGAGCTACCACCTACAATTTATTTAAAGATCCAGTGTGTAACATTTAGGAGGATCAGAATTTGAATATAATATTCATAGCTATGTTTTCATTAGTGTATAATCACCTGAAAGTAAGTTTCATTATGTTTTTGTTACCTTAAGATGAGTCAAATTATATCTACAGAGGGAGCAGGTCCTCTTCTACAGCGTCCACCATGTTGAAGTGCCATGTTTCTGCAGAACACCAAAACGGACAAACCAAACAATGGCTCTAGATAAAGCCTTTTGAGCCTTTTTCTGGAGTTTCACAGCCACCATAGCTTCTCCTACACACTTGGAAGGGGAGTGGTATTCAGCTTGTTGCCGTTTGAAACTTCACTACTAGATGCCACTAAATCTTACACACGGTTCCTTTCATTTGTTTCTAGCTGTGAGCATTTCCTTTGTGCATTTTATTGTAGGAAAGCAGAGTGCATCAACAGGAAACTCAAGAATCAGCCTTATTTAGTATACATTCTGTCTGCTTTGAGTATACTTTATTTTGTCAACTTTCTGTGAACACATGACATATTAAAAGCCTCTTCAGAATCAGCGTGTAGTATGTATTTAGCTCTGCTGGCTGAAGCATAGCAGCTCTTTGAGCTTTCACCATATTACCATCTTAGTTGTTAGTATGTTAGCATTTACTAATAAGCACAAATCTCACAGTGCAGCTAAGGCCAGTGGGAATGTTAATAGTTTTTCAAAGAAATGGACAAATTGACATAATCTGACGATGGAGCCAGATGAAAAGTTCAAGGATCACCAAAGTATTTACAATTCACAATTGAAGGTTTTTACCAAATTTCATGGAAATCCAGCCAATAGTTGTTAAGACAATCTAAACCAGAAATGTTAACAACACAGGGCACCACAGGATCACCAAAGTCAGTACATCCTCTGGGGACCATGAATGTCATCCACTGGTTGTTGAGATAAAAATCAACCCATTAACCAGAGTTCTGAGAGTTGTACTCTTCTATATAGTGGGACAGTGGTTCGACCGCAGCTGTCTTTGGAAATGTGAATAAATAAATTGGACATTAATAATAAATGTGTTTTAAGTATCTAAGCTTCAGTTATATTTCCACTGGACTGAGTTTAGTCTGATCCAGCATAATTGCACTGACTATCTCAAAGACTGTCCACTCCACTGCTTCATCCAACCAGTCATTTACAGACCAGTAGAGAGAGAGTGCAGTGTTAGGGTACCATGGATACATACATATATATATATATATATATATATATATATATATATATAGTATATATATGTACACAGCAGGCTCACTGGTGGACATACATGAAAGACAGATGTCAGAAACATGTCACACATTGTTGTTGCCCCAGAGATGGTGATGGTCGTTTCTGGTCCGATGTGTATCTGTGGACTGAATCCTTGGCACAGACATCCAACCTATACTGTATCTTTTATTGCCTGTATATCCATATCCAAAAAACACTTTTATGTTATAGTTTCTCTTTAGTGACTTCATCATTTCCATATCCTACTGGACTGACAAAGAACAAACAACAGAGACAAAGTCATTGACTCATGAGGTTCTCTCCACCCACCTGCCTCTTGAACTGATGCCTGCAGCATATTTAAGGCAGCTGGCACACACTGAACTGTGACCACTCCGGTGGTCCTTCCTGAAAACAACCCACTGAACAAACATGTGAAGGTTATCCAAATTCCACTGTTTGATCCCTGTTTTGTTTTCTGTTTTATGGATTAAAGTCTTGACTTTAATTTTTCATGTGCACATTATTGATGAAACTCAGGGATGTAAATTAAATATTTTTGGCATGGATGAATGACTAAATCGACCAGCAGCAATGTAATAGCAATTCAGGTCACATATTTCCCTTTCATGAGGTCTCTTGTTACTTTCTCTGCCTCTTTTTCTTTTCTTGTTCTTCTGTATTCTAGCTCAAAATTATGAATTTCTTTATCCACTTTTTTTTTACTATCTTGTTTATAGTACATCATTTAAGGAATTGTTCCTGTCACACAGAAAAAGGTCAACACAGTTTGTATGTTACCATAATATCTCATATAAAGTTCAATAAAGAAACTCATGTTATGGTACTAAATTATGGAGGCTGTTTTTTGCTGCAGACACAAAAATGAATGAAAGGGAACACCTGAGAAAATTTCTTTCTAGGGTTTCTAGGGTTATCAGTTTGTTTAGGAAACATGTCTGGTGGGTGGAACTAACATTATAAAGAGGACAATATTGTTAATTTCAAATTAAGGATGCACGTATTGGATTTTTTTTCAACCTAATTGCTGAGAACATCAATGGTCTCCTATAGTGGAATTAACATATTATGCCTACTTTTATTGTGTGGGCCCACTGGCAGATACGGACATAAAATAAATGTACACATTCATATTTAAACTGTAAAATTCATCCTACTTTAACAGGCCTGGATGATGCTCCTCCCGAGACAATCCTGACAACAACCAGGGCAAATTTGACCTATTTCACAAGTTGCAAAACAAGTAAATAGATGTAATCTCTTTCCACAGGGAACATATGAAGTAAATACATTCTACAGCTGTACAGCAATTGAAGACAACTAAAATAACATTGATAGACAAACTCTTGAATTTTAACACTGTTGAATAAATGAGCCTAAATTAATAGGCTACATATGCTTTACAGACTGTTGCTTAAACTAAATAATATATTAACTGAATAAATGTATTAAAAAATAGATAGCTTGCAACCTGGAAAATACCTGCAATTGCGCATCATGTAGAGTGTGTCTCTAGTCCAGAACACTGCATAGGTTTCTGATTGATGCCATTGGCCCTGGGGTGCTCATGGTCATATATTCTGGCTTTGTTTGGAAAAGAGGCTGCTGACAGGTAATTTTTGATGGTGCCTGTTTCTCTGTGTTCTTCACAAATTTGTAGTAATGATCAGGACGACAGCTCTCAAGGCAGGTAATTCAATTTGTTGTTTGAAGGAATGACAGACGCTGAGCAATCATTGCAAATATTCACTATCCGTTTTAGACATTTTAAAATACCTCCATGCCACCGACACACGTATCCCTCTTTGACGCTCACAGACGTGATGACGTCACTTTCATTATCGTCCATCCCTGTTCTAAGTTTACAATACAATAACTGATCTGATAGTTTAGCTTGTTTTGAAAAAGACATTAATTATTTGAAAGGCTTCATTAGATCATTTTAAATTTTTTAAGTTTGCATTTGTGTTTTTGTCAATCAACGTGCACTAAGCAGTGTGTCAATCATAAGTCACAACCTAGTGGCACTGTATTAAGTAAAGTAGTTTCTTGTTGGTCACCATCAAGACACACATATGTTGTCTTTATACATTTGTAAAGTTGATTCAAAAAGTGACAACTGAAATTTAGTTTCAGGATCTTTCGGTAGAGGTGGGTAAAGACCAGTGAGGGGTCAGAGATGTGGTCAAATTGCATGAATCACTGCATGTTAAATGATAAGTTCTCATACAAATGGAACTCTTTGATGATAAATAGCAGACACAGTGTGATGGATACCAATCAAACTGGTTTCTTATCAAATCTTTTCTAACTTAAATTATCGGATTCATTTTAGTGTCAACTTTGAGTTCCATCTCTCATAGACAATACTGAATTTTTGCATTTGTGCCCATTGTTGTCAGTAATAAGCCATAAACAGAGGAATACAATTACAGACAGCTGTTTCATGAAGACACTATTAAAGACACGTATAATCTGCCAATGACACTCTGTAACGGCAAAACAAGCATTTACATTTAAATAAACACATTCAATTGCAAAAATTGGTAATTCTCAATTTGCCCTCAGTAGCTGTAACTCTGAACATTTGCCCCTATATCGTCCTTTTTGCTCGAGCATATCGTTTCATAAGATTTTTGAATGGGTTTATTTGTTGCTATGACACTGGGGGTTGCTTAAAATTCAGAGAGAAAATGTTGTTTTCCATTTCAGTCTCTGTAATTACGAGACAAGCTTCACTGGAATAGCATGTATGAATGTCAAACACTCGACAGTCCTCCCTTCTTCAAACACGCATATATTACAGTAAAGTAACTACCTTTACACACACTCATACAGACAGACACACAGACAAACCACTTTAAAATATAATTGCATATATGGCGACAGTTTTACTGAATCTCTAGAGTAAGAACTTTACTGTACCACAGAAGCATTATATGTGAGCAGCAGATACAGTATGACACAGAGATTAAGACAACATATATTTCATGGCTTTTCTTTCCACTGGATTAAATCCAGTCACTCTGAGTTTGCTCGTTCCATACAGTAACTGTAATCCTTTTCTTCTTCTTCTTCTTCTTCTTCTTCTTCTTCTTCTTCTTTGCTTTTGTCCAAGATATTGTGTCCCTGTGACATGAAATAGACTTCACATCCCCTTTCTTTATCTTTTTAAGATGAGTTCTATAGTTTTTGGGGTTAAAAATATCATCTTTTTTTTTTAAGCATGCATGCATAAGTCTATATGAAGGATATGTTGTAGGGATCTAAAGCGCTATGGCACGGAGCTGTTTGAGGTAAAAACAAACAAACATCACAATTAGCATGTGTTTACAAGATGGAACATTTAAGTGTACTATACTGTCATTATGATTATTATGCTGTTTGTCTTTCTCTTTTTTCACTCCCTGTTTTTTCCAACAGATGTCAGTTTTAATCCACTGTGGAGTCTTTCAGGAGCACCGTCTGAATTTCATGAGTTTTTGGAAAGCCTGTTTGAACTCATCGTTGAATGCAGTGTAGATAACAGGATTGATGAGGGAGTTCAGGTATCCCAGCCAGGTGAATATATCAAAAAGCACTGGATCAAACCAGCACTCTTTACATATGGCCATGACAAGCGTGCCGACAAAGAACGGGAGCCAACAGACAATGAATGCACCCAGGATGATGCCCAATGTCTTGGTCGCTTTCCTCTCCCGAGCTGCACACAGACGTTTCCTCTCCAGCACGCTGTCTGCCAGCTTCACTTTCACACTATTCATGAACAGAGGCGATCCTCCCCCTCCTCCTCCTCCACCTCCCGCATTGCCAGAGTGTAGGTGTGCTTCCTGGTTGGAGGCAGAATTAAGGGAACAGAGAGAGGAGCCTGCAGAGGTCTGGATGAGCTGTGCTGTGGTGAAACGTTTTCCCGAGGCCGATGGCGTCTTAAAGATGCGGGAGCGGGCGGCGACATAGATCCGTCCGTAGAGAATGATGAGGAGCACTGTGGGTACGTAGAAGGCGCCGAAGGTGGAGTATAGGGTGTAAGAGATCTGATCTGTATTCACCATGCACTCCGTCAGCTCCTCGTGGGCTTTGGCCTGCCGCCAGAAAAGAGGAGGCATGGAAATCGATATAGAGATCACCCACACCACAGCTACCATGACCCCCGCCCGGCGCATGGTGCGGCGTTTTGAGTACTCCAGTGCGTCTGTAATGGCCCAATAGCGGTCCAGTGCGATCACACACAGGTGCAAGATGGAGGCCGTGCAGAACGTGATATCAGACGACAGCCAGATGTCACAAACAATCTGCCCCAGCGACCAGGTCTTACTGACAGTGTAGACGATGCTAATCGGCATGACTAAAATAGACACCAGCAGGTCTGTGACGGCAAGGGAGCCGATCAGGAAGTTGGCAGGTGTGTGGAGCTTCCTGGTCAGAAAGATGGTGGCGATGACAAAGGCATTTGAAAGCACAGTAGCCAGGGTGACCACAGCTAACAGCGCAGACAGCGAGATCTGGAGGCCGAGTAGCGTGGCCTCACTCCAGGGCGGAGTTGTGGTGGTGTCAGGACTCTCTGTGAAGTTGCTGGTAAAGTAGTCCAGTGAGCTATTATCTATCTCCATCTCGACTCTGCTCCTTTAAAACCCTATTTTCTCCAAGGTTTAGACCAGCCTCATCACTGTTATCTGAAATGGCACATGGATCAGTTCAGGCATGGCACTGACAGAGGCTGTACAGTGGCTTGGCACCGTTGGTTTTGGCTATAGAAAATGAAGGAGCTTCTCTTTGATCCTCTTTATTTTCCTTCATTTTCCATCTCTTGTATTACAATGCAACCTTTAGCAAACATCTAATTCCATCATTTCAGTTCACAACTAATGCTCTTGTAATTGAAGTCGACTAATTTGTCCATCTCGCTTCTATAATATCGATTCGCCTCACTGGTGTAGCTGCAGGAGAGACGAACCCTAATTTGTATTCAGCTCCTGTCAGACAGGCACTTTTCTCTCTTCCCAGTGCTCTTATCTCATCTCCAACCGGCAGCCAGCCGACAACAACACCTTCAGACCAAGCCTTCCTATCTATCAAATGCTTTAATGGTCTCCTCCTTTTCAATAAAGCTAAGCGGGGAGCTGCATGTAGGAAGAAGATGACGACAGATACACAGGTTTGCTTGTTGTCTCTCTTTTATCTATTCTCAAGTCCACGTGAAGCCTTCTAAATTGAGGTTTGTACTGAAACTTGGCTGTGCGTCATGTCTTTGATAATATTGGAAAGCCAGAACATTACAGTAACATGGTTCACATTGAATACGCCAGAAACAGAGGAAAATTCCTAGTCACCCAATCCACTTGTATGTAATTGTTTGATATCCATACAGCTTTTGGCAGTTATATAAGTTCCCAGTGTTAAATGTATTAGCATCTCCTCTTCATTGTCAGGTAAACTCTCAGTTGTTGCGTCCATACAGCTGAGAAGGTTTTGTCAGACTTCAATGAAGTTTCCTCTGTGGCATCTTAATCCTAGGTGAGACAAATGACAAGGAAAAATAGGTAGGAAGATTAGTTATATTCAACTTTACCATCATTCAATCCCTCACATTGTACATGTGCATACTGTACAGAAGTAAACCACACACACTGAGGGAAATACATGCGCAAGAAAAACTCAACCTCGACCTGTATATGAAGCATTATCTTGATACACAGCCATAACACCCACACCTCCAGTTATTGTGTTGATTTATTACATTTATTGTAAGAATGACATTGAAATCTCCAGGTAAAGTAAATATAAAACATTTCACCAAAGTTAGAACCAGTTTGTTTTGCTATTGAATAGCAAACTAATCACAACAACTGGGATTGACAAAGGTATCCAGTGTAAGTACATTTTTAACATAAAAGGAATTAATTGTAATGTACAATTTTTGGGAATCCTGGTTGCCACCATGTAATTGCAACCTGTGTGGTTTGAAACTGCCTGAAGTCATTTTCTGTCTCTTCTGTCACACACACACACACACACACACACACACACACACACTAAGAAAAATTTGAAATTGTTTCACACCTTTGCATCTCTGTCTGACTCTCCTGTAAATATACAAAAGGCCATTAATCAATCTTTTGTCTAAAACACATAAATCTAATAAACAGTAACTTTTTTCTTTCACTGAGAAGGCCCCAGATAGACTTTTGCTCTTGTAACATATAAACTCTACTTTCTTCATGTTACTGTTAATGTTATGGTACTCAGAAACTGGAGCACAGTGGTACAAAGGGAAACTGACCATGTTGCCTCTAGGAAAGAATAAGAGAGAATTATCACAGGATGGAAAGCTGAATTACTTTCAACTACAATGAAAGAGATACGAACTGAAATGTGGAAATGTGGTCTCATGTCCCACTGGGGATGAGGACTTCAAATGACTGTTAATCACCACATTCCCTCCCCCCAGCTTTCCTTCTATATGTTAGGCTCGCTTTAATTTATTATTTAAGAGCAGCATGGATACTGACCGCTTGTAATTCAGAGGAAATAGGAAAAAAAATCAGCTGTAACTCTGTATCAAACACTACTGAGACCTGACAAATGATAACTGCTTTACTAAAATTTATTTTTTCTAAATGTTATGCACATGTGCACTGTAACATCCTCTGTGCATTGCAAAAGCCACAGTCACTGAGGTGTTTATAAGAGACATTTAAAACAGGAGCGGAGTAGGGATTTATTTATTGGAATAAGGTTTGCATGATATGGTTTGTTAATTATTTTTTAGGACTATTTTATATTTCACACATCAACAAGCTATGAAGTGATGTTGGAATATTAAGGAACAAAGCTGCCAAAAAACAAACAACGGTGTCTGCCAAAGTAATTACAAATGTTTGATTTTTCACAGTTAACACATCATTCTGCCGACACATTTCAAGTGTCAAAGCTGATTTCCAAGAGCACGTTTCAAAGTGTTTGCAGATTCTCCCTTAAAGTGTTGACTGGCAGCTGGGCTGTTGAGGGGGATTATTGTGCTCCCACCGTGACAATAAATATGCATATTAAATAGTAGATGAAAACAACCTTGTCTCTTTAGCGCATTCATTTACACACTCTCAGGTGAGCATGAACATTTTTATGAGCCGAACGCTGATTGGTTTGGAGCCTTGTGTGGTCTTTATGTGCATTATTATTATTATTTGCTCTCAGTGGTGATGATTTTGGAGAATCATTAAAGGAAAACCTCCTTTTTGAAAAATAATGCTTGGTTATGTTATGACTGTAATAGTGTATCTCTTTCTGTATACAGCCCATTTTTTTAAGTAGCCTAAGTTAACATGTAGTGCGTCTATGAATTTTGGCCTGATGATGGAACTAGTTTAAAAGTTAAGGGATCACCAAAGTTATAACAATTCATCCTGAGGGGGACGTGAATGTTTGTACTAACTCAACATTTCACTCAGTGCCACAAATGTCAACTTTATGGTGGTGCTAGAGGAATTGTCAGAAGACCACTAACATCATAAAATTATCATCTGGGAATCATGAAACTCTCACTAATAAGCTGTTTATATAGAAGGATACAAATAAAATGCAATAGGCCCAGAGTACTGCAGATAACTAGGTGTCTAAGGGAAAAATTAAACCCTATTTAGCCAAATTAAACTTTCTAATAAGATAGAAAACAAACTGAACATAAGATCAGATGTGTTTTGTCATTTTGTCATTGGTTGTCATTTCATTTAAAGCTTCTTCACATCATACATACGCGTGTGTGTGTGTGTAAGCATATATTTAGCCCCTGCTTTGTCCTGCACCATGACATTCAAATGGTCAAATGGGTAGTCAACTACTGGCTGCCCTCCATCAAAGACCCGTACGTACTGTTTAAGAGCAAAGAAAAGGGCACAGAGTACTCTCCTCATGTACAACTACTTAAAAGCAAAGGAGGTTGTTGTCAAGGGTCAAGACACATTCCTTCTAACCTTGTTTGTTGAAACTGTGGAAGAGCAGTTTTGTTTACAATTGGTTGGTACAAATGTTATGCACATGTGCACTGTAACATCCTCTGTGCATTGCAAAAGCCACAGTCACTGAGGTGTTTATAAGAGACAGTTAAAACAGGAGCGGAATAGGGATTTATTTATTGGAATAAGGTTTGCATGATATGGTTTGTTAATTATTTTTTAGGACTATTTTATTTGTGGAAGAGCAGTTATGTTTACAATTGGTGATTTACATGGTTTATTATTAAGAACCACTGATGATTAGCCTTTTGATTTTAAATATGTGCAATTCATATTTACATTCTGTGTATCTGTCAGTCATTGTAGAATGTTCAAAAAACATGAAACTATAACAAAGAGTAGCTTTTGCTAAAAGTATGTTGCCTGACTTCCCCTGCTCATAAAAAATATATAGTTGTTCTCAATTTAATATATTATATATTTTTTTGTGGAGAGGAGGAAAAAGCTGTGTCACAATCAGTTAGTTCTCGGATGATATCTGCAGTATCATCAAAGTTTTTACGGGGGAAACAGTATCCTGTTAAAAATACTTAAGGGATCTTGAAGATAACAGTGTTTACAAGTACATCCACATATCTCAGTCCAAGATCAAAATAAAAGCTGTATGTTATCCAATCGATCCACAGTGAGAGTGTGAAGGTGTTATGTTAAACTGAGAGCACAATCTATTAATTCAAGAGCACAAATTAGATTTTTTCCCGGGCACTGTATGTTACTTTTATTAAAGTACTGTAAACTAATCACATTAATCCATAGTAAATGACACAGTAAAGGTAAGGTCTGTTTGATTTCTTGAATTTCTCCTACAGGGGATTAATAAAGGTACATCTTATCTAATCTTATCTTTTCTTATTTTGGACTGAAATATAATGCAGCTGAGGAACAGCTTTCATTAGACCCTTCCTGCCTGGTAAATGCCTTCATATTTCAAACTGCACATCCACAGTTTGTAACGCAGACTGTGACTGTGTTATAAATTTGAAGTCTCAAGCCAAAACAGAGAAAACCCTGATGAAATCATTATGACATCAGGGTTACTTTAGAAAGTATTTAAAAGACTTTACACAGTGACCCTTTAAAACACTGCTCTGATTCTATTCATATATTTGTTTTGCACATAGTTTTGAAGAAAAAACATTGTGTTCAGATGTAATAGAGATAACTACTGATGGGTGAAGCTTCACACAGCATGGCTACCTAACAGTTACACTTCACTGCATCAGTGGAGAAGAGATTGATAAGCACAGTGCTCAGCCCTAGTGTTGTACTACTGAGTGCACCACACAGTGAGCTAAGAAGATTGTTGTAGACAGCATCAAATTATTCATTCACTTGTCTCTGCTGCAAGCAGTCATACTGTAATATGTTCCTGGTGCATATCATGTCTCACACATACACACACATGTACAGTAGCATGTTTGATAGATGGCTGAATAGCTTATCTGTTTACACATCAAACAAGTCGAGGACGAGGCTTATCTCCTAAGGATCTGGTTTACAGCACAATGAGGTAATGAGGTTCATAATGAATGAATGAGAGGAAAAGATTTTCAATCAAAAACAGGCCTTGCCTAAATTGGGCTGTATACTGTGTGTGTGTGTGTGTGTGTGTGTGTGTGTGTGTGTGTGTGTGTGTGTGTGTGTGTGTGTGTGTGTGTGAAACATAGTTGCTTCTACATCTGGCTTTGAAATTGAAGGTCTAATACAGTGAGGCATGGCTAACAAAGCAAGATAACAATAAAAATGTACACAAAACAATACAAATTTTCGTCAGACGAAGAGCAGAACTGGAGCACTGAACAATATCGTGACCCTGCCCAGTTGGCCCCATTGCATCACACCCCATTCACTACAAATCCAATTCATTCCTTTCAGGCTTGGGCCAAATCCAAGCAGATGCTGCAGCGTGTGCGCGGCAGCCTGTTTGTTGGTCTGGGTGAAACAGTAATACCCTCTGAACCTGGCAGGCCTGCAAACATTGCATGGCCCCACTGGAGATAGGCTAATTGATTTAGCTCAGAGGAGGTAGAGCCATCGCTACCTCCGCTGTCAGCTAATGTCTGGTGTTTACTCAAGCGTGTACTAAATGGTAGGTGAACAAGGATGTACTGTGTGTGTGTGTGTGTGTGTGTGTGTGTGTGTGTGTGTGTGTGTGTGTGTGTGTGTGTGTGTGTGTGTGTGTGTGTGTGTGTATGTGTGCGTGTGTGTGTGTGTGTGTGTGTGTGTGTGTGTGTGTGTGTGTGTGTGTGTGTAGGGTGGAAGTAGAGAGGTTGGGGATTTATGATAGGGTAAATGGAAGAATGAGACAGGGTATCTGTTGAGTTGCAGCTTAATAAGAAATCATGTTGTGAATCATTCTGTAACCAGTTCAGCTTCGAACAAGAGAATCACTTCCACTGGGGACCTATTTTTGTCCCCTTACCTTTTATTGTTTCAGATCGATTTCCTTGGTTAAGTCTCTCAGAACATTGTCCTGTTACTGTGCTGCCGCCAAAGTC